CACATGTGCATGCGTATAACTTTCCTGTCACTTCACAAAAAGCTGGGGGTTGAACCTTGTCAAGGTACATGGATTGTTTCTTTAAAAGTCTGTCAGGAAGTTAGGCAGGAGGTGGCTGAAGAAGGTACCAGGCAGAATCTTCACATTGAAGCAGAGAGAGAGGAGAGAGAGGGGAAGTAGTTTAACAGATAATAGTTTCCTCCTTACTTAGAGAAAGTTCTCAGAGTCAGAAGAAAGGAACACGTCCTGTGATTTTATACTCCTGTCACCTTCTAGACCCCAGAATCTGCAGATTCATATATCATACTGGTGTCAGGACTTCAGGACCTCTCTCTTGTTCTTTGGAAAAATACAAGCTAATTCATTTGGAGGAACATCATCTGAAACCCACACATTCAAAGGCAGGGAGAAAGAATTGCTCAAAGAAAGGCCCAGATCATATCTCCCACAGAAAGCAGTGATGCTAGAAAGAGAGACAGTGCCAATATTCTGAGAGGCCCTGATTCAGGAAAGCACATAAGCATCAGGTCCATCAGACAGCGCTTAAGCACATGCTTAAGTTTCATTGACTGTATTTTTTGTATTCAACATGATTTGGAGCCCACTGCAGTATAACCTGTCTTGCATTTTGCTGGCAACCAAAAATGTATATAAATACTACATTGGTTTCTTTCTTGTTCTGTGGGCAGACTTTAAGGCACTGGTACTTAATCTCTGGATTTGGAGAAATATGCTGCTTGTCAGCATCCTGTATGCAGCTCTCGTGGTGTCCTCTGGTCTGACTGTTCCTGCTTTGAACTAAAGTGAGAAAAGTTCTCTCTTTGCTGTTCAGTACACATGAGGTAGTGTGAAGAACACAGACTTGCATTGTGGAGGTGGCTCGGAGCCATTTCTGGCAGGGGGTGTCAATCATTTGATTATTTTTTCCAAACAGTTTCCAGAATGAGGAAAAGCCAGGGAAAAGAAATAATTCTTGCCTTTCAAAAGCCAAGAGAGGCAAGGAAGGACAGAGGATATTTAATCGGATGAATGTGGATTGCTACATGATGGTGACTGTTTTGTGATGTTCCCTCTATGTTATACCAATAGAATAAAAACCAGCAGGATCTTATTAAGAGGGATAAGGCATAGATGCCACATTTATTGTAAATATACTGATAAAGCAAAAGATAAAAGTAAACAACGTTGTTTTACTACTTATTTCCTATACACAGAGAGAGAGAGAGAGAGAGAGAGAGATTCATTCACACAATCATTCATTCAAGTGCTGTATAGGTGTTATAGTTACCAGCCTAGAAGTTGCTCATGCCAAGTTACTGGCCAGGTATCTTGGTCATGAGGATGGAGCCGAGTCTGTGTCAGATGCACCTGATGCTCCTGGAGGTTGGCAGCAGAACCAGAGACTCAAAGTCATTAGTCTTTAAAGTCCATTCTTATAGGATTTAATGCCTATGTTAGTCTATGGGAGCTGTTTCATCCTGCTGTTGCTGACTCAATCAGCAGATGGCACATTCCTGTCCAAAGTGGCACATTCCTGGTGGCACCACACTGTCCAAAGTTTGTGTTTCTCATCCTTCCAGGTGATGGGGTGGATCCCAGTTTACTTTCAGGGGGTTGTCTGGTGGTCCTACTCGACACATTCTTCGGCCGATGGATACTCCCTTTCTAGGCTGGCACCTCCCTAACCATCCATGTATATCAAGCATTCATCAGCATACATTCCATACCTTAACCATATTTTAATTTACTGTCTCCACCACTTTCAGGGTGTATGTTAATTCATTTGAGACTCCCGGCCCTTTAATCACAGGGTGTGGCGGTCTGTCCTAGGAGCCCTGGAATGAAGTGAAAATCACTTAACGGCTTATAGTGTTTGTTTACATTGTATCAGTTACTTCAAGAACAAAGTCAATTAACTTATTTGTAAGTTTTACATAGTAATAAAGTATCTTTCACAGGATAGATATAATCAATGGTTTCTACAGACAGTAGCTTACAAATTTTAACAGAAGACCCAACAGATTTTTGTACTTGGTGAAACTGTTGGATTTTAAAGTGTGGGGGACAAATTATGAGGAGGTCACTGTCACTTGGGGGAATCACTGTTAGTACCTTCTTTAATATCCCTACATCTACACAGTCCATATTGGTGATGCGTATGTGATGCAAACATTGATATACAGCATCAGAACATAACACTGATTATTTTGTGGTTTAAAGAACATTTTATTGATTTCTTAGCTCTCCAGCTCTGCTAGACTTAATACAACTACTTCAGAAGCACATATTATATAGAGAGGTGTTAAGAAACAAAGTCCATTGGGGTACCGTATGCTTGAGTGCTGTCACAGAGACTTCTTGTAAAAAAAAAATGACACTGAATTATGTAAACTGCCCATCTTAACCAATGTTTAGTTGGCACCTGTGCCACTGTAAACAATCTAATCAATATATGAATAGGCATAATGCCATCCAAACACATAGGCATGAATGTAGGCCACCAAAGCCAATGATTCTAAAAGATCCTCCAATATGGTAGTTAAGGGCAAAAATCCCAAATAGACATATTTGCTATACAGATATGTGACTTAGTTAAAGAATTAATTAATTACTAAAGAGATGTGTAGCTATTTGAACAGAATGAAACCCAACTCCATGTATTTTGCTTTTGACATATATTACTGAGTAAACTGCACGTCTCACCCCCACCTGGTCTTGTCATGTGTTAGGTGTCTAGCTGTCACCTGAGCTGGGAATGTAGTCACACAATTCTCCTATGCTTAGACCGGGCACTGGGTTGCAGTCCACTGGTATTTAATCATGTTTGCCCCCACAGGTCTGACCTAGGCCAAGAGTATTCCCTCCGGGGCAATTACAGTGCTATGCAGTGACTTAATAAACTTCTAAAAGAAATGTATCATTTATTTAGAAGGAAACCATTCCAGAAAAAAATCATAAAAATAATCAACCTGGTTTTATGCATGTCTAGCTTACTAAGTATCTAACCATCTCCCACACTGGAACTCTAGGAGGACTAATTCCCTATAAGAGAAATGAGGTCGGTGAGGCGATATCTTTTATAGAGCTAACTGCTGTTGGTGGAAGATACACACTTTTGAGCTAAACAGTGCTCTTCTCTCTGTCAGCTTGACTCCTTGTTGGAGCTCCTTGTTAGACAGTAGCCTGTCTGAAAACTCAACTCCCCTTCTCGGGGTTCAGATCAGTTTTACGCTCTTTATAGCCCTTTTGATTTCCAAGTTCACCAAACTTGGCAAAACAAGCTTACAGCTTCCTTGGAGACAGGAGGTAAGATCCTTGAAACGAATAGTTTTTTCCATGGTCTTTCAACTGTATGCTTGGTGTTTTCTCATCTGGGAAGCTGTTGTGTATTGCCTTCCTGTTTATTATTCCGACACACCCTGGTGATCTAACGATACAATAACTTCCCCTCACAGACCAGGCCACATACAATGTTCCTATATTTTTTTACATATCAGTATTCATTACACTGTTATGTACCAGCTCCCCTTCTATCCCAATATGGAATTTGCAGTAGCTTATTATGATAGCTATGTTCACTTTCTGTGAACAATTCTAGACTAGATTCTACATGTGTGCTTGAGGCCTCCTTAAATGATCACAACTACGAGCTACTTTTTTGCTACATACATTGTAAGGTATCAAGACTGACAAATCATTATAAGACATCAGAAATCTTACATTGGTCTTCCGTGTTCTCAAAGATTACCTGACATTTCTGTTGAATAGACCTAAAATATTAAGAAGTGAAGGGATTTTTTTACTAAAGATCTTCACCTCATGTAATAGTCCTGTATAATTTCACAGGAATGAAAGCCAATGCAAATTTTATATGGCTAAACTGCAAATTATTGTAAAAACTATCTATTGTACAAAATGATATCCTTTCTATAGCTTTATTACAGGGCTGTAAGTATCTACTAAATTCTATAGGATGGTTCAAAAAATCTAGAGAATGATTACCACTTTCCGTTACATTCTGTAGGTCTTTCCTTTAGGTGTTGTTATGAATAATACTGGATATTTTTTCTCATGTAAAGTGCAGCAACAGTATTGAATGTTTGTTTTGTTTGTTTGGTGTTTTTTATTTTTTTGACCAAAGTTTACTTATTCAGGTAGAAAAGGCTTTCTGCTTTAAATCAGACTGACCAAAATATTGCCCTTCAAGTTTTCTTCTAAATCTCTCTCAATAACATGTTGGTCATACAGGGATAAGATCTGTTTCCCACATCAAGCAAGACTCTATAGTCTTGGTGAAGGGCTACTGGCTGGAAGTGATCATTTCCTCCCCATATCTTCTTGGACAGGCTATGAAGGATTAACAGAGCCACTTTGTGATGATACGGTTGCCTCAAGCAGCATATAGTACCACACAGTTCCTTCAGCACTCGTCCTCTTTGGGGCATGGGGGAATTGTAGATATAATAAGTAGCAGGTCCACTTCCATCTCCACAGCTCTTTCCACTGTAAATTCAATCATAAGAGTCCTTGTGTAACACATGCTTGCTATCCATAGAACTCGCTGCTGTAGACATTACTGAACCAAAGGGTAACATTTCCAATGGGACTTAGGCTCCTTACTGAAGCACTTTTGACAATTTTACTCGAAGAATTTAGTGGAATTCACAAAAAAAGAGTAGACATTTTTATGAATAATGAGAATATCATCATCCTCAGGTAAGAATAATTAAGATAAAAATATATAAAGGCTCATGCTTCAGGACAAAAACATAAACAATCACCACTTTCCAGTGGTGAGGAAGAAAATTCCATTTTGAGGCATGTAATTGTATAATATTCTAGTATGTGGGTTGAGCCATTCCACTGAAATATAGAGGCTACTGGACCAGGTTGAACATTGGTGTGGTATAGTATTCCTATGACCGTGAAATACAACTATAAGTGGCTTGGAGCTACTCTCAATGTTATGTATATAACTTCTTTTTTTTTTTTACAAACAGGCAGCACTACAGGAATTGGAGCAAAGGCATCCCCAACTGGAGGAGCTAATAACTGCAGCACAGAATCTAAAAAACAAGACCAGCAATCAAGAGGCCAGAACAATCATTACTGATAGCAGTAAGTGGTGATTCCACTACCATATAACTCCCCAGGCAAGAAATATAGAGGATGTTATAATAACTTTTAAGCATAGTATTTTTCAAAGTATGTTTGCCACGAGAAGTGGAAATTATCTATTTTTATTTGTAAGGTAATTTTCATTAGGGTGAGAATTTTACACTAGGGTTGGATACACCCTTTCAGAGAAAGAGTCCCCATAACTTTCACAGAAAACTTGCACTAAGCCTCTCTGGAAAGTTTGATTACTCTCCTGCCCCCATTATTTTTCTATGTATACATGAATGCTTTCCATGATAATCCACCAAAAAAGTGGCACAGATAGTTGGTGCAAGATAGTAATGGGGCACCTTTCCCACCCCTCCATATTATGTTGATTATGTTGCATACCAATTCCTAAATCTGGCCCTCTTATTTGTAGTAGCACCTAGAGACTCCATTTAGGGATTGAAGCCCCATTTGCTAGTTGTGGTACAAAACACTAACGGTATTATATAAATAATTTTCACATACTTCCTTGTTCTGGCTGAAACCTGAAGCACAGTGTTGCTGTGAGAGAGCCTGTTTTCATATTTGCATCCTGAGCAGAAGGTGTTAGCATCAGAAATCTTATGAAGGAATATGTTCTCATGAGAGATTCTCCCTAGCAGAGTCCCAAATGTGCGGGTTAATTCAGATAAAGTTTGCATAAGTACCTGAACTTGTTGAGTGCTTGTTCATATCAAATGTATGTAGTTCTCTTATCACTAATTTGTACTAAGGTTTCATTAAATATGTGTATATCTATCTATACTCTATAGATATACAGAGTCTACTAGAGAAATGTAATGGTTATAGTCTTTTCTTGAAATGCAACCATTAACGTGAATTGTGTGTGTGCCTAGAGTCCTTTCTATGGTAAAATTGAACTTATCTTCCAGAGAAATTGCTTGAAAAATGAAAGTTGAGTATATATGTTGAGGATAAAAAAAACCCACCATAAACCATTAAAAACGTTATTAACTACAAATACATATGTATTTATTGATGCAGTATCCTTTTGCATGAGACTTGGTGAATATTTGATTTGATTTTGATCTACAGGGGTCTCCTAACCCTACTGGTTTCACTTGGACTTTGAATGTATATATAGTTGTATATTAAAAAAAACAAAGATTTTCTCCTGTTTAAATTAGGTAATATTTTATTTAGTAGGCAGAGAGATCATAAATGCATCAGTCTTCCTGATCTGTTGGATATGTAATCTGTTGTCACATGGTATCTGCCACAGTTTTTTTTTATTTTATTTTTTTAATGAAAATATTTTAATGTACCTGAATATCCATATCACTGGAACTACTGTACAAAGGTTCTTCATTTCCGCCCCTCCTAATTAGAAGAGATGTTCTCAGAGCCTTTTTGATCTAGTCTTCTGAGGCACCAGACTGGATTCATGAAAGTGTTATCATGATTAGATATTTTCTGTTTGTAGAATTTTAACTACTAAATAGTATTCAGAAGAGTTATTTATCTATTTTTGAATTTTAAAGAGTGGATCAAATGATAAATAATTCAGATGTGATATTTTTAGAAAAATGCTACTATACGTGTGTAGATGTCAGAATGTGACATTTATGAGTTACCTTTTCTTAATATACGCCAACTATGGGAAATTATCATTATTGCACAAATATTTTCCTGTATATTGAAATTTTTCCTTATAGTAAATCGATTAAGGGTCCTCTATTAGGTCTAATTCCTGAAGTACTTAGTCAGCTTTCTTGTAGGGGGTAATAGGACATTTGCTTCCTTCTAAGAGTTCTGTGGAGAAACCTCTCACCCACACAGAGATCACTGCAGGAGCAGGGTGTAAATGAAAGCTAATTAAAGATTTCAGGATTTGACTCTGTGTGAAGAACAGTTGAGTGGCTTGTTAGTGACTGCTGATTCATCTCAAGTTTGTAAAATTTAGTTCTGTTAATTGTACTAGTAGTCCTATAGCTTTTTGTGAAAGTATCAGACAATGCAATATTTTCTTCTAAAATAGTCCCATCATCTGTTTTTTAGGAATGTATCTTTCTAATAATGAACAGATTCTTAAGTCCTTTATCAGTTTTTCTCACTCCTCATACTGATGGGAGTTTTGCTTAATTAAGGATCCAGAAAAAACTGGCCCAATATTGCTTAGAAGATATATAGCACTGAACAAATATTAAGTAAAAAGCTGCACAATAACTGCATTAGGTAATTAAATATTAGTTATATGTCTGTCAAGCGATTAAAAAAATTAATCACAATCGCACTGTTAAACAATAATAGAATACCATTTATTTAAATATTTTTGGATATTTTCTACATTTTTATATATATTGATTTCAATTATAACAGAATACAAAGTGTACACTTTATATTTATACAGATATTTGCACCATAAAAAAACAAAAGAAATAGTATTTTTCAATTCAACTAATACAAGTATTGTAGTGCAATCTCTTTATCGTGAAAGTTGAACTTCCAAATGTAGAATTATGTAAAAAGAAACTGCATTCAAAAATAAAACAATGTAAAACTTTACAGGCTACAAGTCCACTCAGTCCTACTTCTTGTTCATCCAAACACTCTGTC